CAGAACACACCATGCTGGTACACCCAGAGTGCACCCAGAGTGCACCATGCTGGTGCACCCAGAGTGCACCATGCTGGTGCACCCAGAGTGCACCATGCTGGTACACCCAGAGTGCACCATGCTGGTACACCCAGAGTGCACCATGCTGGTACACCCAGAGTACATCATGCTGGTACACCCATAGTGCACCATGCTGGTACACCCAGCGTGCACCATGCTGGTACACCCGGAGTGCACCATGCTGGTACACCCAGAGTGCACCATGCTGGTACACCCAGAATACACCATGCTGGTACACCCAGAGTACACCATGCTGGTACACCCAGAGTGCACCATGCTGGTACACCCAGAGTGCACCATGCTGGTACACCCAGAGTGCACCATGCAGATGCACCCAGAGTACACTATGCTGGTACACCCAGAGTGCACCATGCTGGTACACCCAGAGTGCACCATGTGGGTGCACCCAGAGTACTCCATGCAGGTACACCCAGAGTACACCATGCAGGTACACCCAGAGTACACCATGCGGGTACACACAGAGTACATCATGCAGGTACACCTAGAGTACACCATGCAGGTACACCCAGAGTACACCATACAGGTACACCATGCTGGTACACCCAGAGTACACCATGCAGGTACACCTAGAGTACACCATGCAGGTACACCTAGAGTACACCATACAGGTACACCTAGAGTACACCATGCAGGTACACCCTGAGTACACCATGCTAGTACACCCAGAGAATGCCACGCTAGTACACCCATTGTATACCATGCAGGTACACCAAGAGTACACCATGCAGGTATACCCAGAGTAGAGTACACCAAGAAGGTACACCTAGAGTGCACCATGATGGAACACCAAGAATGCACCGTGCTTGTACACCCAGAGTGCAACATGCTGGTACACCCAGAGTGCAACATGCTGGTACACCCAGAGTGCACCATGGTGGTACACCCAGAGTGCACCATGGTGGTGCACCCAGAGTGCACCATGGTGGTACACCCAGAGTGCAACATGCTGGTACACCCAGAGTGCACCATGGTGGTACACCCAGAGTGCACCATGGTGGTACACCCAGAGTGCACCATGCTGGTGCACCCAGTGTACACCATGCTGGTGCACCCAGAATACACCATGATGGTACTCCCAGAGTGCACCATGCTGGTACACCCAGAATACACCATGCTGGTACACCCAGAATACACCATGCTGGTACACCCAGAGTGCACCACGCTGGTACACCCAGAGTGCACCACGCTGGTACACCCAGAGTGCACCACGCTGGTACACCCAGTGCACCATGCTGGTACACCCAGAGTGCACCATGCTGGTACACCCAGAGTGCACCATGCTGGTACACCCAGAATACACCATGCAGATACACCCAGAGTATACCATACAGGTACACCAAGAGTACACCATGGTGGTACACCCTGAGTACATCTTGCTGATACACCCAGAGTGCACCATGCTGGTACACCCAGAATACACCATCCAGGTACACCCAGAGTGCACCGTGCTGGTACACCCAGAATGCACCATGCTGGTACACCCAGAGTACACCATGCTGGTACACCCAGAGTGCACCATGCTGGTGCACCCAGATGCACCATGCTGGTACACCCAGAGTGCACCATGCTGGTACACCCAGAGTGCACCATGCTGGTACACCCAGAGTGCACCATGCTGGTACACCCATAGTGCACCATGCTGGTACACCCAGAGTGCACCATGCTGGTACACCCAGAGTGCACCATGCTGGTACACCCAGAGTGCACCATGCTGATACACCCAGAGTGCACCATGCTGGTACACCCAGGATACACCATGCTGGTACACCCAGAGTACACCATGCTGGTACACCCAGAGTGCACCATGCTGATACACCCAGAGTGCACCATGCTGGTACACCCAGAGTGCACCATGCTGGTACACCCAGAATACACCATGCTGGTACACCCAGAGTGCACCATGCTGATACACCCAGAGTACACCATGCTGGTATACCATGCAGGCACACCCAGAGTACACCATGCTGGTATACCATGCAGGCACACCCAGAGTACACCATGCTGGTATACCATGCAGGTACACCCAGAGTACACCATACAGGTACACCCAGAGTACACCATACAGGTACACCCAGAGTACACCATGCTAGTACACCCAGAGTATGCCATGCAGGTATACCCAGAGTACACCAAGAAAGTACACCTAGAGTGAACCATGCTGGTACACCCAGAGTGCACCATGCAGGTACACCCAGAGTACACCATGCTGGTATACCATGCAGGCACACCCAGAGTACACCATGCTGGTATACCATGCAGGCACACCCAGAGTACACCATGCTGGTATACCATGCAGGCACACCCAGAGTACACCATGCTGGTATACCATGCAGGTACACCCAGAGTACACCATACAGGTACACCCAGAGTACACCATACAGGTACACCCAGAGTACACCATGCTAGTACACCCAGAGTATGCCATGCAGGTATACCCAGAGTACACCAAGAAAGTACACCTAGAGTGAACCATGCTGGTACACCCAGAGTGCAGCATGCTGGAACACCCAGAGTGCACCATGCTGGCACACCCAGAGTGCAACATGCTGGTGCACCCAGAGTATACCATGCTGGTGCACCCAGAATACACCATGCTGGTACACCCAGAGTGCAACATGCTGGTACACCCAGAGTGCACCATGCTGGTACACCCAGAATACACCATGCTGGTACACCCAGAGTGCACCACGCTGGTACACCCAGAGTGCACCACGCTGGTATACCCAGAGTGCACCATGCTGGTACACCCAGAGTACACCATGCTGGTACACCCAGAGTGCACCATGCTGGTACACCCAGAGTACACCATGAAGGTACACCCAGAGTACACCATGCAGGTACACCCAGAGTACACTATGCTGGTACACCAAGAGTGCACCATGCTGGTACACCCAGACTGCACCATGGTGGTACACCCAGAGTACACCATGGTGGTACACCAAGAGTGCACCATGCTGGTACACCCAGACTGCACCATGGTGGTACACCCAGAGTGCACCATGGTGGTACACCCAGAGTACATCTTGCTGATACACCCAGAGTGCACCATGCTGGTACACCCAGAATACACCATGCAGGTACACCCAGAGTGCACCGTGCTGGTACACCCAGAATGCACCATGCTGGTACACCTAGAGTACACCAGGCTGGTGCACCCAGATGCACCATGCTGGTACACCCAGCATGCACCATGCTGGTACACCCAGAGTGCACCATGCTGGCACACCCAGAGTGTGCCATGCTGGTACACCCAGAATACACCATACTGGTACACCCAGAATACACCATTCTGGTACACCCAGAGTGCACCATGATGGTACACCAAGAGTGCACCATGATGGTACAACCAGAGTGCACCATGCTGGTACACCCAGAATACACCATGCAGGTACACCCAGAGTGCACCGTGCTGGTACACCCAGAGTGCACCGTGCTGGTACACCCAGAATGCACCATGCTGGTACACCCAGAGTGCACCATGCTGGTACACCCAGAATGCACCATGCTGGTACACCCAGAGTACACCAGGCTGGTGCACCCAGATGCACCATGCTGGTACACCCAGAGTGCACCGTGCTGGTACACCCAGAATGCACCATGCTGGTACACCCAGAGTGCACCGTGCTGGTAAAACCCAGAGGGGCACCGTGCTGGTACACCCAGAATGCACCATGCTGGTACACCCAGAATGCACCATGCTGGTACACCCAGAGTACACCAGGCTGGTGCACCCAGATGCACCATTCTGGTACACCCAGAGTACACCATGCTGGTACACCCAGAGTACACCAGGCTGGTGCACCCAGATGCACCATTCTGGTACACCCAGAGTACACCATGCAGGTACACCCAGAGTGCACCGTGCTGGTACACCAGAATGCACCATGCTGGTACACCCAGAGTAAAACCAGCTGGTGCACCCAGATGCACCATTCTGGTACACCCAGAGTACACCATGCAGGTACACCCAGAGTGCACCGTGCTGGTACACCCAGAATGCACCATGCTGGTACACCCAGAGTACACCAGGCTGGTGCACCCAGATGCACCATTCTGGTACAACCCAGAGTACACCATGCTGATACACCCAGAGAAACACCACACACAGTTCACAATGAAGATCATCTCCTGCACTAACACCACAATGACTAACTGTACTTGAGAGTACACAATGGCGATGATAATTTTCAGTACTACCATCATTCATAACTAACTGTACTCAAGAGAGTACACAAACATGATATTTCTAGTACTAACATCCTCATAAATGTACCCAAGAGAGTACACAACCATGATAACTAACTAAAACGTGTGTGAAATACTATACAACACATGTAAACAAGTGAGAATGTAGTAGAAGGGAATGCATGATAAAACTCTCTCTCTCTTATTAACATTTAAAATATAAAATGTTGGAAAACTTTAAAGAATGTTCTTGTATTTTTTTTTATTTACTGATCATTAAAGACAAAAATGTTATCAATGATTAGTAATGTTAATACATGGTGCATAACAACCATGAAGAGTTGAGTGATATCTCTAGGCCTTTCGTGTAGCTATCAACACATCGTCAGAGCCTGCAATGTTCCAGAAATAAGTATGAAGTCCTGGTAGATTTTTTCAAGGGAACGACTACTCTTGTTCCCTTGAACAAATCTACCAGGATTTCCTACTCGTTTCTGAAACACTGCAAGCTCCTAATGTGCTGACTGCAATACAAAAGGCCTAGAGCTATCATTCAACATCCCCCATGGCTGTTTCGCATCCTGTATTGCTTGTTCGTGATCACTGCACAGCGTGTATACAACACGTGGAGTGACCACACAGGTGGTACATCTTGCATGTTAACACAGAATTTAGAAAATGTGGGCATTCGCTTCTTCTGTCTTCTCAGTGTGAAGATTTGTGTGTACACTCACCATTGCCTGGGCAGATCTGGATTCATCTGAAGGGAGACCTTCCAGGGAGAAGCCCGTCATGGCGTCCCACCCAGCCAGAGCTTCCTGCATCAACAAACACAACTCTCTTAATTCATCACTCATCTTCTAGGTAACAATGACAAAACAATGACAAATAGATACATTTCAAGGTTAGGTTCAAATTCAAATTGTTTATTTCCTTGCAAGTTTACAATGTGGTTGACATATTGCAGGAAGTATTTTTTACATAGGTAGTTTACAATGAGGGTTTACAATGATTTGTAGTGCAAAAAGAGCCACTATCATGCCTTGGCATTACAGGCAGTTTAAACTTAATAGATTACTGATTACTTAACACTAGACGTACAAAACATAGTTTGATCAGGTTGCACTAATTATACAATACGTTATATATGTATTAAATATATGTTCTTCAACATTTGCAGTAGGTTAACCCTTTCAGGGTCGAGAGGCCCTCTCCTAAACTTGTTCTCAGGGTCGAAAATTTTTCGGAAAAAAAAAATTATTTTTTCTTATGAAAACAGTTTTTTCCCGATCATAATGACACCAAAAGTATGAAATTTGATGGAAAATTTATGGAATTATGCTCTTGAGAAGTTAGCGGTCTCGCCGATGTTTGCAGATGAAAGGTTCAGAGAACCGACATGTTGATAAATTAGACATGTGCAACTCTTGGGTATCTTTATTGAGGAAACGTTTCACCACACAGTAGCTTCATCAGTCCATACATAGGAGAAACTTGAAGAACAGGAGGAGAATGAGGTAATCAGCCCCTCAACCTTGAGTCGATGTGGTCAGTCCATCAATCTTAAATAGAATACGGCATATGTGCGGAGCAGCAGCTTATAAACCATAGGCAGGAGAGGTGCAGCAGTTGTAGGTGGTGTCACATTTGTCCAGTGTGGAAGTAGGTTGTGCCCAAGGGTTAGGCAAGCGAAGAATTCCCAAGTACAGTAGTCCCTCGATAATCGTAGGGCTCGAGAGTCGTACTTTTCAGAAATTGTAGCGATATTTTCGTAAAAACATGGGCTCGCTAATCGTAGATTGACTCGTGAATAGTAGTTCATCCGGGACAGGTACACACAGCCCCGAGCCACCTCACACTCCATTCCCAGCCAGTGTGCCATTGTTTATCAGTGAGTGAGGATGATCCCATGAGTTCATACGATACATTTTATAATATTCCATTCGTTTTAGTGTTTGCAACTGCTAAATAAGTCACCATGGCTCCAAAGAAAGCTTCTAGTGCCAGCCCTTTGGTAAAGAATGTTAGAAACATATAATTTAAGAAAAAGTTTGTAGAAAAATATGAAGGTGGTGGTGGTAGAGTGGAAGCAGTTGTGATAGTGGTTGATGGTCATAGAGGGTGGTAGTGATGGTGGTAGCAATTGTAATAGTGGTAGAAGGTGGTAGCATTGTAATAGTGGTAGAAGGTGGTAGCATTGTAATAGTGGTAGAAGGTGGTAGCATTGTAATAGTGGTAGAAGGTGGTAGTGATGGTGGTAGCAGTTGTAATAGTGGTAGAAGGTGGTAGTGATGGTGGTAGAGGGTGTCTTCTTCAGTGATTCAGCAATTCTACCAACTCCTCCAATGTTGTTGGAGTTATATAGGGCTACAGAAAACACCGCTGCCTCAGCTGCTGCTTTGTCAGCATAGTTGCTGATCCCCTTATATGTGTTGTATAGCGTATCATAGTACCATCCATGTGCTTTATATAGAAGATCCCTAGGCCGAGTGACTGTATGACATCACGGGATACAGCATGAGTCAGTGAGACAAGCTGCCTCCCTCTCACTCGACGCATAGGCATAGAAGGCAGAACACGGCAGGCTGGGCTCCATCTCCCATTATCACAGTCCGACAATATAGCGTTACCATCCAACAAGTGAGTTTACCTTATCCATCAATCTCCTACCGAACCCCACACGACAATTTGGCGACAGCGGTGTGGGCGTAAAATTGATAATTACGTCGATGTACGGAGATTTCTTTCGACCAGCACGACTGTTGCCAGTGGGCCGACCTAGCCAGCCAGCTACCCCCACAAGCGTTTACCAGTCTCAACATTAATCACTGGTCAGTCTCCTTGTATTAGTGTTTATCTGCTTATTTGCATCACTCCCGAGGGGTTGACCCGAGTTTGCAAAATAAGCCAGCAACCAGTCTGTGGTGAGGGAGTCAGTCCAGCCTAGCCTACTCCATCCAGCTTTGCCTGCCAAGCTAGCTTTCCACCCCTGCTGTGCTCATCGTGAGAAGTTATCAAGCTATTCTGTGTGAAGGGTTTAGATAAGCCAGCTAGCAACTAACCCAGGTGACTAATCCAGTACTCAAGCGAACCACATGGGTACAGTCTTCTCATCGCTTTGTGCTTCAAGTTCTAGCCATTCTGAGTGCTTTTTCATCCCTGTGGTGTTGTGGTAATTCGTGGGTTTGTTTTTAAGCCAGCCGGCTTAGAAATATTTTCGCGCCAGTGTGGTTGTCCCCAGTGAGGCTTACACCATTCATCCCATAGGCCCACTCACCACGTGTGTCTCACCACCCCCGGCCTCAGCCCTGCTTCAGCCCACTCACTCAACCACTACCACTGTGTTATTGTACTCTTATTATGGGTACTAGTACCATATTTTAACCCTTTGAGGGTCGACAGGCCCTCTCCGAAACTCGTTCTCAGGGTCGGCCAAATTTTAAAAAAAAAAAAATTATTTTCTCTTATGAAAAGATAGAGAATCTTTTCCCGATCATAAAGACACCAAAAGTTTGAAATTTGATGGAAAACTTATGGAATTATGCTCTCGCAAATTTAGCGGTCTCGGCGATGTTTACGCATCGGCGATTTTGCCCACTTTGAGCCCCATTTTCGGCCAATTCCACTGTACTAGTCGACAAAAAACATGAATATTTCGCTAGAACTCCATTTTTTCTATCGAATGGGTGCAAGAAACCACCCATTTATGAAATTCAACTATCCAGTACAGTGGTCAGAATTTAGCAATTTTGCCAATTTCACACAAATTTCAAAAGATGCCAATTTCCGAATAGGGTCCAGAATAAACAAGAAAGACATTCCTGGCACTAAAATGACATTTCCTCTGGTCATTAGTCACGTCTCAAGGCCCCTCTTATATTCTTTTGCTTTCCACTTAGAATTTTTATTCTCACAAAAAATATAAGATTTACTGTTATGCAGACTACTGCATTAGTGTAAAAAATGGTATAAATATTATTGGTGCACTTGTGAAAGAATATTAGACTCACCAGTTGATGTGTATTGCACGCTTGGCACGATTTGTTTACTTTTGAAATTTGGTAAAAATCGAACATTTCTGCTACTTTGAGCTCAATTTCAAGGTACCTTTCATTGTAAAACCAGTCAAAATCATCTCAATTTCTGTAATATGTCTTCCATTCTATAAAATGAGACCAAGAAAACTAGAATACAACAATAAATACCATACGAAAATACAGTGCAAAGTCGCTGTTGTATTCCAAAAAAATGGTCAAAGTTTTTTTTTCTCATTATGCACTGTGTGCTGCAGGATTTTTTTTAGACTGTGCACACTGACCACATAGACACATTCTTTCATATGAAGGCCTACCAGCTTTCTCCCACTAGATTTGAGGGCGCTAGAATTTAGGCGTACTAGTACGTCAAAAACCCTGGGTCGTAAGCCGTACTAGTACGTCCGAAACCCTCAAAGGGTTAAGGACCACATAGGGGATCAAGAGCTAGAGTGTATCTTTTGTCATCGGCACCACCGTTAAAAGCCTCCTGTGTGAGTTCATCGTCGATTTAAGCGCAATTCTACGATCACATGTGGACAGCAGCCAGCCGCGAGAGGACATAAACATCCACCACCTTCCTCCACCCTTCCACCTCATTCTTCACCAAGTCGCTGCAGTGATAATAATATTTTTCATAGAGACATTTGCGAGTGTTGAGACATTTCTTTTTTGTTTCCAGTGATTTCTTGTGACATTCAGTGACTCTTGATTAGACTCAGTGTTTATTATATACTGTTTGAATTAAGAAGATAAAAAAATATTGCAGTGTTAATTTTCGTGCTATTATTTTATGCCTGTTGTGTTGTGTTTCCTTTTTTATATACTTGAAGTACCTTAGTGTTTTTTTCCTTGTTGTGTGCAAAACTTATGAGCAGTATAGAACTTGTGTTTACACTTCAGAATCACCTAGTGTTCAGAGTATTCCAGTGAAGTAATTCAGTAATTTATTACCTTGTATTCTGCATCACAACTCAGTGTTGTCTGTTACATTTTTATCCCAGCATTTGTGTAGTCTTGCCAGTTTATTACATTTTTCTCTGTGTGTTGAACATTTTTGTGTTAATTCTTTTCATTCAGCCAGTGTGTAATTTGTCTTATTTCCACAGACAATAGTGCCATTGTTTTGTGCAAGCAAGAAAATTATTTTATTATCAAATTTCTCACACATCAAGTTTCATAGCAAGAAAATTCTAGTATTGTGTTTATATTGATGTGTTGTGTTCTGCATCACTGTAAGTGTTCAACCCTTTTTGTTCTGTGTTTTTGCACCTATTATTTTTCATGTTTCATTGAACAAATTCACTCTTAGTGCAATTTTTAAGTTGTTCATTTAAAGTAAATCATTCTTTGTTTGTTCAGTAAGTGTTGCTTAACCCTTTCAGGGTCCAAGGCCCAAATCTGGAGTCACGCACCAGTGTCCAAGAATTTAAAAAAAAAAAATTTGTTATTTTTTCTTATGAAATCGTAGAGAATCTTTTTGTGAAGGTAATAAAACAAAAAGTACGAAATTTGGTGGAAAATTGACGAAATTATGCTCTCGCGAATTTTGATGTGTCAGCGATATTTACGAATCGGCGATTTTGCCGACTTTGACTCCCATTTTAGGCCAATTACATTATTCCAATCAACCAAATTCTTAGCTATTTCACTAGTATTACTTCTATTCTATCGATTGAGCACAAGAAATCGCCAAGTCAACTGTTTCAACTACAAAATAAAGTGATCGGAAATTGTTAATTTGCCCAATTTAACACAAAGTTCAAAATATTCCAATTTCAAAA